TACTTCATACTTTTACATAAATATATTTTTCATGTAATGTAATGTAAACCAGGACTAAACCAGGACTAGATTTTTCATGTAATGTAATATAATGTGTACTTCAGTATATATATATATATATATATATATATATATATATATATATATATATATATATATATATATATATATATATATATATTTTTTTTTTTTTTTTTTTTTTTGCTTCTGTATCTGCACTTTTACTTAAGTAACAATTCTCTATCTCTCCACTGATGAAAAGTATTGAGTACGTTTTTATTTCTATAGCACTTTTCACAGACATTTGTCACAAAAACACTTTACAGATCATTCTTCATTCACTTCACACTCAGTCATGAGATACTAGTGTAGCCACAGCTGCCCTGGGACAGACTGATAGAAACAAGGCTGCCAGTCCCTCCAACCACCACAATCTCTCTCTCACACACACACGCACACACACACACACACACACACACACACACACACACACACACACACACACACACACACACACACACACACACACACACACACACACACACACACACACACACACACACACACACACACACACACACACACACACACACACACACACACACACACACACACACACACACACACACACACACACACACACCACTTTCATACTAGGCAATGGACACTAAGGACACAACAACAGGTTTTGCCCCCTGAAAAAAACAAAACAATTTTCTTCATTATTTATTGAACCAGAAGCATGAGCTCCTTCAGCACAGGAAGTGACGAAGAGCTTCTTTATTTTAACAGATCCATGTTCTTCACCAGTGTAAGGAGCTCTGAGGTCTCCCACAATCCACTGCAGCTCTGAGGTCTCCCACAATCCACTGCAGCTCTGAGGTCTCCCACAATCCACTGCAGCTCTGAGGTCTCCCACAATCCACTGCAGATCAAACCCAACATTTCCAAACACTATTGTACAAGTTCTTCTGCAGCAGATTCTTCATTCAAATCTTCTGCATAAATAAACTTTACAACATATAAACAGAACGACTCTAGAGCCTCATCAGCTGTTTGACATTATAATGTGTTTAATGCAGCTTTGACACATTTGTTTTTACAGAAACAAAACTTAAAACCACATGGCTCATTTGCATAAACCATAAGCTCTCACTGATGTGCTTCAGCTTCTGTCAGACTAAAGGACATGACTCAGTGGAATATGAGTGTTCTCTCTGTGACAGAGGATGTGCTGCTGATGTGAGTCTGTTCATGAAAATGTTTGTGGTGCTTGAAGTTTTTGGTTGGCATTGACTTTGGGCGTTCAGGGCGGTAGAGTCTGTCTGCTGTTTATCTGACGCCTTAAAACTGAAGTATCTCCAAGTATCGAAGTATCCACGAAGAGAGAGGAACCAGCGGGGGTGAGAAGGGGCATTATATCGATATATACGATATGTCTGAATTAGGGCCGGGCGTTAACTAATTAAGTCATTATCACCGACAATTATTTTAACGCCGTTAATGCAGTTTTTATTATTTATTTATTTATTTTATTGTAAACGTCTGTTTCTCACTGGCTTTTATTTTGAAAAAGTCCACTGTGAGCGTTTCTTTAAGTTTGACGTTTTTTCTTTACACTTTTTTCACTTTTTTTCTGACCACGTGAGATGCAACGTGCCCGAGCCTCCGCGAGCTGCGGGCCCGGCCGCGGGTTTGGCCTCAAGCTCCTGCTCTGGCCGGACCAGCCGTGCGCTCTGACCTGAGCTGGTTTCTTTAGTGCTGCAGGAGGAGTCACTGATTTACCCAGATACCACTGGAAGAAAAAATGTGATTGATCCATTTCCATTCCATTATATTAACCCTTTGTTTCCCAAGAAATATCAGTCCAAGTTTATAACACTGATCTAGAAATTATTACTAGTGCAGTGTTTATTACTCACTGAATAAAAAATATTCAAAAAATATATTAGTAATACAAAAGTCCATTCAGTATTTTTTCTTGAGCCTTCACTGAAAACCTTGAAGACTCTGAGGTTCCCCTCTGAAAGAAATGTTCTGTTTGCACAACAAATGTATGACTCTTTCATTTACATTTCCAATAAAAGTGCAGCTGTACTCTACTTTGTAATTTATTAATTGGTTTTGCATATAACATGCAATTAATTATTTTTTAAAATTTTTGCCCAGCCCTAGTCTGAATCCATTTCTTGTTTAAAAAATATCACAACATATCAAACACGAAATGAAAATGAAACTTATAAAATGTGAATCCACTGTTTTTGGTGAATATAACATTTACAAACAATAAAAGAACGTGGTGATTTAAACATGTGACGTGTTACAGTTAAACCCCAGAGAAGTGAAATGCTCCGTCTTTAATCTGGACCAGCTTCCCTCGTATCTCCACTGCACCACGTGGACGTCCTGATGCTCCTCTCATTATAAAAATGTGACTTCTTTTACAGTTCTTCTCATTTCCATACCTCAGACTTATCCCCTCACACCAACCACCTCCATCTCAACAGAGTCGGGCTCACTTTAAGTCGGGCTCGCTTTAAGTCGGCCTAATCTTCTTAATATCTCCATCCTCTGACTCTGACCCACTTCACCCAGAGCAGCTGTCTCCAGTCCAATTTGCATTTGAACAGATCCTCCATGACAGTTAAGACCAGGGAACTAATTAAACCTCCTACAATGATCTGCAGAGGATTTGAAACATGTTTTGAACCAAACAGATGAGCAGACATGGTGAAAATACTAGAAGAAAATGAAAATAGAACTTAATGGACCCATATTATGATATTTTCTGATCTGAGTTGTGTTTAGTTTCATGTTTATCACACAAATCCTGCACATTTAGGCTGAGTTCTTCTCTCAAACTTCTCTCTTGTGACTGATTCAAGTGACGCTTAGTGTGTAAAATGGAGCCTCCTGATCAGTGAACTTCTAATCAAGCATCTACAGGCTTAGACGCTTGATTGGAAGACGTTTGGAAACATGAAAATGATGACTCCCAGTGAAATTACCGACACTGGGAACGTGATAAAACTGTGAATTCTGCAGCAGCGTCTTCACCTGCCAAAGCTTTTCATGGGGGACGAGACTCTAATCATGGCTTTAATTAGACAAATTATAAAACACAAATGAATAGGCAATTTATAAAAGGAAAAAAGAAAGAATACAGTGACATTTAGATGAAGTAAACCTGGCCATTTTCTCAGTTTGCCCAGATTTTGCCAAAAAGAAGTCGTCATCCACACTCCCATGAAGCTGGCCCCTCATCAAACACAAACCTACACAAAAACTATGTTATTAAGTTTTTATTTATATCACAATTTTCACAGACACATGTCACAAAAACACTTTACAGATCATTATTCAGTCAATCCATACCTGGTGGTGGTAAACTACTATTGTAGCCACAGCTGCCCTGGGACAGACTGACAGAACCTACCAATCTGCGCCATCCGATCATCTCCCACTCACACCATTTTCATACTAAGAAATGTGGGTGAAGTGTCTTGCCTAAAGACACAACAACAGTTTTTGTGATTGGCGCCCCCCTGTGGCTCCTGATTTTTCCCAGTGGTCTCCATCCAAGACCAACCAGACCTCTGAGCTTCTGAGATCTGACAGGATCAGGCTTTGACAAACTGGTATGACTAATGTCAATCGTTTGTGCTTCGTTTGTGCTGCAAAAAGTTTGATTTGTGCTGTTTTCAGATGGGAGATATAAACAATTCTTTAATAGGTCAAATTGGGGTCAGTCAGCCCCCAGGAAGCTTCAAAATGCTCTAAAACTACACAAAATGCGATTATGGTCCTTAAGATATTAGCAGTTTTATTTTTGTCATCCAGCCCCTCAAAATGTGGCCCTCAAAAGAGCAGAAAATTATAAAAAACATATTTTTTATTTGGTTTGTGCTGTTTTGTGCTGTGACAGTTTTCATTTGTGTAAGTTTATTTCTAAAATGATTCATTATTTTTTTTACAGAAATGATATGAGGTCATTTCTGCTCAGCTGACGGCAGCGAACTCCACAAAACCAGTGAAAGAAACGATCTGAGGCTGTGGAAAAGTCTGTATTATTATATAAATTATGAATCAAAAGCAAATTACTAAAGGCTGATACAGACTAGTTTTGTGGAGTTTTGTTAAAGCCGTCGCCATCAGCTGAGCCAAAATGACGTCATATAATTTCCATAAAAATAATAAAAATCGTTTAAATATACTTGCACATATGAAAACTGTCACAGCACAAAACAGCACAAATCAAATACAAATGTAGAATTTTCTGCTGTTTTGAGGCTGTTTAATATTTTGAGGAGCTGGACGAAGTCATCATCCCAAAATAAAACTGATAATGTTTTAAGAAGCAGAATCGCACTTTTTGCAGCACAAAACGAAGGCACAAACGAAGCACAAACGACTGACTCCATTTTGTGTCATTTTAGAGCATTTTGAATCTTCCTGGAGGCTGTTGACCCCAATTTGACCTATAAAAGTATTATCATTAATATCTACAAAACTAAAACAGCACAAACCAAACTTTTTGCAGCACAAAACAGCACAAATGATTGACAGAGTTTTTGTGTAGGTTTGTGTTTGATGGGGGACAACTTCACACAGGTTTCATCCACATGTTTCTAAACACCTTCAGGTTTTGTGGCGTAAGTGTGAAGTCCATTCACCTGGGCCTTTACAATTAATTATAACATCTCCCCATCTCCCAATATGAGTAACACAGGAAGTGCTCCACTGTGTTTTTAAACTCCACACACCTTCACTAGAATCATTCGGATCATTTCAGACCTGGAATTGTCAATCTGTGTGGAACAAAAGAAAAAAAAAATGGAGCTGTTCACCTGAAAACTACCACTTCATGACATCACAGTCCCATAGAGGAGAGCACCCGAGGTTTGGATGAAAGCAGTGTGTGTGTGTGCGTGTGTGTGTGTGTGAGTGTGTGTGAGTGTGCGCGTGTGTGTGTTTGTTCTAGATCAGACTCAGGAGACACGTTGAGTTTGAGGAACATTTATTCTTTCTTTGGAGCTGATCAGTCACAGGTTTGGTTCAGTCTGTTTCACAAAGAACAGGGCTCCTACAGAATCCACCCAATGGGCATTAAAGATGCACTGCGGAACTTTTCTTTCACGAGGACCTACCAGCTTCTCGTCTCCGTGGAGATCTTACTGCTTTGCCAAGAATGTTCCAGAGTACGGCACTGAACTTGTCTTTATGGAAACAAGCAGGCAACGCTCATACTCAAAGTTACAAATCAGCTCTGTGGAGAGGAGATCTGGATTTCTAAGTATTTTTGAGCAATAAAACCCCCTGTAAATGCACTAAATACAAGTTGATATATTTAATGCCATATTGTGGAACATTTCAGGCAAACGAAAAGTTACATAGTGCAGCTGTAAGATCAATGAAATTTCAAGGCAACAGTGAAGAGTGTGTAACAATATCAGTGTAGTAGTAGCAGTAGTAGTAGTAGTAGTAGTAGTAGTAGTAGTAGTAGCAGTAGTAGTAGTAGTAGTAGTAGTACTAGTAGTACTAGTAGTAGTAATAAAACTAGTAGGTCATTTTTGTAGTAACAGATGCTTCAGGTGGAACAAAGAAGTACAGGAATAGCTGCGATTATTAGATCATGTTAAGTCCTAGTTCAGTCCTGATTCAATCCTGATTCAGTCCTGGTTTAGTCCTGGTTTAGATCTGGTTTAGTCCTGGTCTAGTCCTGGTTTAGTCCTGGTCTAGTCCTGGTTTAGTCCTGGTCTAGTCCTGGTTTAGTCCTGGTCTAATCCTGGTTTAGTCCTGGTCTAGTCCTGGTTTAGTCCTGGTTTAGTCCTGGTTTAGTCCTGGTTTAGTCCTGGTTTAGTCCTGGTTTAGTCCTGGTCTAGTGGTTATTCCCGTGCCTGTTTAAACATGTGTCTGTAGGAGCCCTGTGTTTAACACTGGATCCACTCTTACATTTTCATTACAGTCAAAAATCACCAAACTTTCTCCAACTCCCTGAAAATCCTCATTTATATTTAATAATATTCAAAAATTATCTCCAAAAATAATGACAAAAACAGTGTAATTTTTGTATGTACAGTCAGTATGAAACACTAAAGCAGAAAGAAGGCACTGTTTGTGAAATGTGAATTTTTTTGACATAAAAATCCAGTATTTTTTTTTATTGTCCCAAATCTTTTTTTATGTATAACTTCATTGAAAAATAAATATCTATAATTTTCTTAAATTTAAAATAGTCTTTAAAAGTTTCACCGTTTTAACCCAGACTAAAAATGTGAAAAATTACCTAAAGTATAAAAAGGTTACAACAATTTTTGAAAACATTTGATATTACAGGGAAAAAAAAGGAAAAAAAGAAAAAAAAAAAAGAAAAAGAAATTGACATTTAATACACAGCTTTGTAAAAATGAATACAATTTTTAGTTACTGAGGATGTGCCTGGTCCCTTTGAAGGAAAATATGTGCCAACACTGCAAAAACGAGGATCTAAATTGGTTAAAATTATATAAATTGGGACATTTTATCATGTTTTGAGCTTTTTTACAGTTTGTGTTAAATGGCCTCTCATATTTTTCTTCTTCTTCACGGCAAAATTATGTAAAAAATAATAATAATTTGAGAATTGAGAAAAAGTAAAACATAAGGGCAGCAGTAGCATAGTAGATAGAAATGACCACCAACTAAAAAGTCTGTGGTTCAATCCTTGCTACTGGTATTTGCATAGTACCATTGTGTCATTATGCAAGGCACTTCAACGTCTAATAAACCAACAAATCTAAACTACAAAACTGCTCAAATCAAAATAAAATTTCTTAAATTCAACATTTCAAACTCAAATAAATCCAATTTTTTTGCGTAAAACGCCCAACCGTCTCTTTGGCGTCTGGAGGAGGCGGGGCCAGAAGCACACGCTCGCAGTTCATTGGATGCCACAAAATCACATGACATCAGGAGTTATTATACAAGAGAAGCAAAGGAGGCTAGTGTCTTTAGTGGTGGACTAAGAGGTTCCAGAAATCACAAATGAAAGAAATTATAAAGTGATGTTTACATGAGAGATGTGACTTGGATCAATGAAGCAGGACAGTGAACAAACTGACACACGGAGAAGGACATTTCAGTTGGATCTTTAGAACTCACTCATTTTCCAAATTTCTGAAAACATTTGATTAAAATTATTATTTTTTTATTCCTTAATTGCCTGTGTATAATGTTATTCCCATAGTAATATTATTTTAATGATATGAAACTGTAAAAAATTTTGAATATAATAATTTTATATCACAAGACCAGCACACTGAACTAAAGATTAAAAAAATAATCAAATATGTCAGTCCTGTACTTGAATATGATCCATTATTAAAAAAAAAAAAAAGTTTTTTTTTATCCAACCAGTGTCCATTTCTTAAACGTAATCATTGTTCACCATTCCCTTTTCATACATTTGAACATTGACCAAAAGTTTACAACAGCAAAGTCCTGGTTGTATCATTCACAACTCAACCTGTCACCAAAAACCACTCACTTTTAGATTTGATTTTACACTAGAACCTTTAGTTAGTTACAGTAGTTTCGATGGATGCTTGAGGGATGCCATTGACAATACTTTGATACTTTTTATAGTGACATCACACTGGGGGTATTCTACACGTTTGTAAATGGTGGAATGTTCAGCAGTTACCATGGTGATACAATACACACATTAGCAAAGACTGTCAGAAAGTTTTAAGATGGTCTGAAAACTGAACAGAGCTTCATCCAGAGCAGTGCCTACAGTTAACATCACACCATCACACCCCGGGGAATGTTGATGACATCAGCTGCAAAGTATCAACCGTTATGTTAATTCTCAAATGTAAACATCATGCACAATTTCACGTGTTAAATGTCCCGTCCTCCTGGAGCCTCAGACAGGGGTGTCCGCTCTCCCCTCAGCTCTTCACTCTTCTGCTGAACCACACCTTGTTCTCTCCATGCTCTAGCCTCTTATTTCTCTGAACCATCTCACATTTCCATGTTTTTATGTTGAAAGCATTCTATGATTTTCAGGATTGTTGTGTTGTTTTAATGTATCCGTTTGCATGTTTTATTTCTGGGCGTGTTTGTGGAAAGTGTCCTCTTAAATCTGGGTCTGTAGCAGTCTTGTGTGCGTGCATGTTGGGTGAGTGTGTCCTCTTACAACCAGGTTTGTTGTGGTCTCTTTATTTGCGCGCATGTTGGGTGAACGCGTTCTCGATGCACAGGACGATGTATTGGCCGCTACAGGAGCTGGAGGTCTGGCGGAGCAGATGTCCGGAGGCCAGAGCAGAGGCCAGACCGCTCACCGCTCGGTCCCCTGCTCTCCACGTCTCGCAGTAGTTATCCATCTGCCGCTGGCCCTGAGAGCTGGAGCCGTGCCACAGCATCTTCTCCGGCCTGGGGAGGGACAGAGGGGACGAGGGTTGTTATAAACTAAGTCTTCTTGGTTAAATAAACGTTAATTTAAAATAAAAGTACAAAAACTGACCAGGCACTGTCCCTGAGAATGTCGCGTCCGTCAAAGGAGTAGATTGGGACGTTCTCTTTCAGTTTAGCGCCGTTGTCCCCAAAGATGGACTCCCAGTTCTCAAACAGAACTTGACCCTGCGGGAAAAAAGAACATTCAAAACAGGGTATTCCCAGGTTTGACCAAATTTAAGACTTTTTAAAGACCTTTTGAAGACCAATTCAATGAAAATTAAGACCAACATCACACCCATTATGCAGGCGAAAAACAGCAGATCTAATTCTAACAATGTCCAACCAACCACAGGTACTATATCTAGAATCTAAGGCTACGTTTACATGATGAGAGTCTGAACAGAAGACACAAAATTGGCATCACATCTTCACTTTTTATTCCGCGTTTAGAAAAGCGTTTTCAGGGTGAAATCTGTGTGTATATGGTGATGTAAAAGGATGTGGAATTGGATTGTGTATGCATGTCAGGCGACTCAGTGGTGACTGTAGGTGGTGATGTATGTGACGTAAACACGTACACGACGTGAGCAGATCTGACCAGAGTTCTGCATCTTGGGCAGTGTAGACGGAAGTTATTGTTTACTCAATGCCGCCAGCGCCTGAAATGTTGCTTTTTTCCCTCCCTCCATTTAACATAGCACTGCAGCCGATTGAGGATACAAAAAAATAGGCTGATGAAATTTAGACCTTTGTGAAAAAAATAAGACTTGGACAACACAATTTAAGACTTTGTAAGCCCTTAATTTAGGAACATGAAATTTAAGACCTTTTTAAGACTTTTAAGACCCCGCAGCTACCCTGTATAAATCAAGTCTGTGCCAAATACATTTTAGTCAAGGCTTGAAGTAAATTAAATATGTGAAAAACTGAGTTTGAACCAGTGTTAATATTGAGCCTCTGACAAGTGAGGGCGGTACTGAAAACGATGAGGTGACCATTCGGTGCTTTCAGCGTCGTCCTCTTTTGGTCATGAGGGATTCATAGAACCTTAATTTTTATATATATATATATAACATTTTAATATATATTGATTCTTTGGTACCTTCAGATTAAGGATCCTGTATCCGTCTCGGTCTGACTTGCGTACAATGGTGTACAGGTCCTGCAGTTTGGAGGACAGAAAAGCTCTGAACGTCCCTTTAAGACCCACAGCTCTGGCCTGTTGGAAGCACTGGAAATCTGCTCCTCGGATCCCTCTCATGTTTCCAGACTGAGGAGAGTTCAACGCGATCAGGTGCAACTGTGGAAGAGACAGAAACTATATTAGACAAGTGAAGAGGACGGAGTCAGATGAGCAGAGAAGGATCAGAGGAACCAAGGAGGATCAGAGGAGAGGAGCAGAGGAGGATCTGAGTAGAGAGTCAAAGGATTCACAAGAGAGGGTCAGATGGAGCTGAGGATGCAGAGAAGAGGGTCAGACTCACCCCAGTCGCTCCAGTCTCCAGATGGGGGTTGGGATACGGGTTGGGGTGCGGGTTGGGGTGGGGGTTGGGGTTGGGTCTCCTCTGGGTGGTCACTGCAGGATAAGGATAGTGGTTCTCCGTCCTCTCGGGGGCCGTACCGCCGTCCGTGTGGCCGGCCTGAGTGAGCCTGGGGTCAGGGAAGCGCGGGTCGTAGCGTGGGGGGTAGACTGGTTCTACTGGGGGCTTGTAGACTGGAGGTTCTATGGGCCTGATGACGCTCTCGGAGTAGTGTCCCGCCCCGTTGTTCTGGCTCTGATCCTGGTTGTGGTCTCTGCTCTGGTCTGGGTTACGGACCGGGGACTGGGGGTAAACGACCACTGGAGGGGGATGCACCTCTGCTACCTCGTTCTCCAGATCTCTGAAGAAGGGATTATATTCACCGAGCTGTAAAGAGAAATTGACAAATACCAAAAGTCAAACTAAGTCGACTAAAGGCCAATCTCCATGCATCTATAATATTGACATGAGAGTTGGTGTGATCCCTCAGTCGTCCTGAGCTGGAGCTGAACAATTTTAAGAAAAAACTAAATTACTGGCAGATATTGTGATTTTAATTTCATTCAGGATTATTTTTTTCAAAGAATTGATGCTGGACTGTCCAGTTTACGCAGACAATAAGGGCTGTGATTGGTCCTCTCTACCACCGCTCTACACACTTTTCCTCTACTCCACTTTCTTTCAAAATACATTGAGCATTAATGTATTTAATGCAACTTTGTGCACGTTTGGTTATGTTTTACAGAAACTAAACTTAAAACTACATGGCTCATTTGCATAAACTGTAAGCGCTAAAAAACAAACAAACAAACAAACAAAAAAACCTGGCTTCTTGTGCCCTGATGTAGTTCAGCTTCTGTCAGACTAAAGGATACGACTCAGTCAAATATGAGTGTTCTTTCTGTGACAGAGGATGTGCTGATGATGTTGAGTCTGTTCTGTGCTTTTATCACGTTGGAGACGGTTCATGTTAAACTTTACACAAATGCCAGGTTTACATCTTCGCCTCCTGATGTTGTGGTGGTGAATTACTTCACCTCGATGCAGATCTATAAATCAAAAATGAGTCGACAGCAGCAGTGTGCGTTGAGTTGATGCAGAACTAACCTTCACCATTGGGATTTAGGAGTACTGCAAAAAAACATTCTTTGATGCTCCCAAAATCATGTTGTCTGAGATCTCTATCTGAGATCTTTCAGTCCAAAATGATAAATTGCTCAGCCCTAGTATGAACTACAGTACACATAAAATTCAACTATGTCAGCTGGAGAAAGACTTTAGGGAGAAGACATCTACAGATTAACTGTAAACAAGTAGGTGTGTTAGTTTCAGTGTAGTTTCAGTGTGTCCACCAGCAATCTGACCAGAACCAGAAGAAGCAGCTTGGATGAGCTGTGAAACATCTTCACTCTGAAGCCTTTGTCCAATTGACAGATTTGAATTGATGAGTACTGCAAACATACACTGCACACAGGAGGAACCGCCGTAGGGTCTGACAGTAGGTTCAAGGAGTTCATCTTGATACCTAATGGCATCAGACTGCAGGCTTCTACTTGGTAGAGATCTGTGCATCCCTCCATGGATCCCAGACCCCACCAAACTGCTCATGCTGAACCATGTTACAGGCAGCAGACTGTTCTCCTCGTCTTCTCCAGAATCTTTCACATCTACATCTATATGAACCTGCTCTCATCTGTGAAAAGCACGGGGCACCAGTGACCAATTCTCATGTCTCCTTCAGACTTTATATTGATCTCAGTTCTGATATATAGATGTCATTTTAAGCCAATTTATTCTTTTTTATAAAAAACTGTCACTTTTCTGGTGAAGGGACTGCCACAAGTTTGTCTCCATGGACATGTTATTGCTTTGCAGGCAATGTTCCACAGTATGGCATTAAACTTCCATGCAAACAAGCAGATGATACCACTAGGCCAAGTTCCAGGCAGATCTATGGAAAGGCAAGCCCGCTCACAATAAGAACACATATTTCTCAAGATGTTCTTTAAACTATCAAACACTTATAACTTAATCAGTAAATCCTGAACCTATTTCAGATGACATCACAACATTGTCAGGACAATCATATTTAATCCAGATGGGGGTCGCTCAAATGAATCTTGTTAAATGCAGATTTGTGTTGTAATATTCATGAAACAATTTCAGCTACAGTCATTTTGCAGTGTGCCACAAGCATTAGGCATTTAGTCGCCAGCGTTCCTTTTCCCAAAATCCTCACTCCAGAATATCAGAGCATTTTGTATCAGCCTCCATCGTCACTGCCTTCAGAAGAGAATTATTTATAGACAATCATAAAGTGGATTTGATCAATAGATTTTATGTTAACATTAAATTAAAGTCATGGGAGAGACTGTGTGTCCGCTGAGAGGGCACTGGATCACTTTAACACGTTTCAATTGCTTCAGTCAGCAATATGTGTGACAGGGACATCAATAACTCTTTATACACAGTGGTTATGAGCACAGGGACAGAATGTGGACAGTTTTATGAAGAGGCTGGGACGCACCAGGACTTGCCGGATGCCCTCCCGCACGCGCAGGTACAGGTCGGCTCTGTCCAGGATGTAGATGAGACTTCCCTCGGGCTGACGCCGTGCAGTGGCCATCATGGTTTCGAAAGAGTTCAGAATCGTCACCTGCAACACAGAAGTGACCTTTAGATGACCTTTAAATGACCTCTGTATGACCTTCTCTTCTGAGACATTACAGCGATAAATCCACAGTATTATGTGGCCCAGTGTGACACACACAGCCCTGATATTTGCAGCACAGATGAATCTGATAAATATTCTCGTATGACATTTTTACAACCATGTTCACAAGCTCTAGCTCATAGAAAAAAACAAAAAAAAACATCTCAGGCACATGCAGTGTATGACAGAGCCTCCAGAGGGCGCTCTTTTACAGATAATGCCAGGAGCTCTGTCACCATAGGAGCTCGGAGTAGAGCCGCTGCTCCTCTACCTCCTGAAAGAGAACACTTCTACAGCAAATAACCACAGAGAGGAAACTCCAGAGCAGGCTTACCCCAGAGGAGTGTCCTGGAGTGCCAGGGGGGCCGGGGGGGCCTGGGGGTCCTGGTATGGTCACCGCTGGAGGAGAGAGGGCCATTTGTTTAACACAATTCATTTGTTTAACACAAGTTAGAGTTCAGACTGAACACCAGCAGGACTTACGGGGGTATCCTCCATGCACTGAGGCCCCGGGGTTTCCTGGGGGCCCAGGGGGACCAGGTGGTCCAGGCCGACCATCATACCCGACACCAGCAGGGCCAGGAGGGCCCTGAGGTCCAGGAGGACCCACCACAGAATCACCTTTTGGACCCTAAGAGAGTGGAGATTTAGACTGGGCTTAGTCCTGGTCTAGTCTTGATTCAGAACTCAGTTTTGATTGAGTTTTTGTCCAGTTCTGGTTTTGTCCTGGTTTGGTCCTGGTTTGGTCCTGGTTCAGTCCTGGTTCAGTCCTGGTATAGTCTTCATACTCACAGGTAGTCCGGGTTGTCCTGGAGGTCCCTGTGGTCCTTGTAGGATGTAGTTTGGGTCATATGCTCCTCCGCCGGGCTCTCCCTTCTCTCCCTTTAGTCCAGGTTCTCCTTGTGCCCCCTTTAGGTCGTTCTGGTATTACAACATGAACATATTACAGGTCAGGACACAAGATAATTAAAAACGTTGATATTTAGTGTTGTCTCAGAAAAAGATAATCAGACAGCCTTTTCAATCTCTCAGAAACAGAACTCACCAGATATGAGTACACGTCGAAGCTGCCAGATCCTGCAGAAAACAAAGTCAAAATGATCACTTTGGATTTGTTTAAATCACATGTGTGTCATATATACATGTACACTACGAGTCAAATGTTTGGACACACCCTCTCATTCAGTGTATATCAAATTATGTAAATCAGAAAAAGTGATTTTTTTTTTGCTTTGTGGACAGTACTGCAAACCCTTGGTTTTCTCTCAGTGAGCTTCATGGTGATGTCTCCTTCCTTCATTTTCACTACTTAACTATCTCTATGGAAATGGAAATGCAGTAGATACCACCAGACCAAGATACTGGTCAGATCTGTGCAGAGGAGGGCCCTTTGACTGTAGGTTTGCATGAATAATACCCTCTATATGAAGACAAGCAGGTGGCGGACCCTCTCTCTGAACAGTTTAACAATGCACCTTTAAAAATCCTTTACTGCATCTTGGTTATTAAAGATAAAAACATAAGCACCAACACAGGCAAACCACAAAGAGTAAAAGGATATTTCTAAAAATTTAAACAAGTCTGGAGTTATTTTGAGTTGAAGAAGAAATATCGATGAAAAACTGTGTTGAAACTTTTTTCTGGTCGACTGGGCGTGTGTGTGTGTGTGCGTGTGTGTGTGTGTGTGTGTGTGTGTGTGTGTGTGCGTGTGTGTGCGTGTGTGTGTGTGTGTGTGTGTGTGTGTGTGCGTGTGTGTGTGTGTGTGTGCGTGTGTGTGTGTGTGTGTGTGTGTGCGTGTGTGTGTGTGTGCGTGTGTGTGTGTGTGCGTGTGTGTGTGCGTGTGTGTGTGTGTGTGTGTGTGTGTGTGTGTGCATGTGTGTTAGAGATGTAAACAGAGTCAGACCTGATGCTCCTGGAAGTCCTCGCTCTCCCTGGTCTCCTTTCTCACCTTTCTGCCCTGAAAGTTTGAGATATTATTAGATTTATTAATAGTTTCTTTATATTATTTTGAGAAACAACAAACAAACAGAAAACACTGTTCCACCTTGTGATGTCATGTGCTAATACAGGAAATGCTCCACTATGTTTTTAAACTCTTTACACCTAAACTAGAATCATTTAGATGAATTAAGTTCATTAAGTCATGGAATATCCAATCTTGATTACCACTAAATGACATCACAAGGTGGAACAGAGCATTCTGAGATTTGGAGTTGTAGACAGACTAACAATAAAGATTTATTCAAACATGTGTAAATGAAACAAAATACAACGTGAAGCACCACATGAAGCATGTGCACTATAGCTGAGCCACTGAGCCACACATTATCTTTTTTTTTTGTAATTTTTTTAAACTCCAATCCGCCGTCTTGAATCTGTCTCTGTTTTGGGCAGCCATCGTGCCATAAATCTGCAGGTGTCTTTAAAATGATTGATGTGTACCTCCATAACTGCGGGCGTTGTCTTCAAAACGCTGTAGGGACAAAAAACAGTCACTTACAACGGCAGTAACAGCAGTACTTTACAGTATATGTACACTGTAGTATCCAGTATCACTCTGAACTTATTACATTTAAGGCTGACTTTATGACAAAAAATAAAACATAAACAATACAAACTTTTAATCATAGCAATTTAACACAAACATTTCCTCCTCCAGAGTCTCTGGTCTGTTTTGTTGACAGAGGACTGAACACATCTCCATGAAAAACACTTCTCTGACCTCTGACCATCAGAAATGAATCTTGATGTGATTAAACTGTGATGAGCAGCATCGCTCTGGTTGGTGCTTTGCATGAATCAGCTGCATGACTTTACATTAGTGACAGGGGCTGGACTCACATTGAAGCGGTCATAGGGGTGAGAGGGTCCAGGAGGTCCGGGGGGTCCGGGGGGGCCTGGGGGTCCCTGGAAAAAACAAAGATTACCATTAGAATGCATGAATGAAATTTAAGTTCAGTGGTGTGTTCTTCCTTCATGTGTGTGCCTCACAGAGTTGAGCCCAGGACCAGTGTTCTGACATCAGACACGTCTGATTCACCATCAAAGTGAAAATCAGTTGCTGGACAAATCCAGACTCATCTCTGTATTCTTTATACAGATGAATATCAGTCTGGTCTCTGCTCCCTCTCATGTGTCTCAAACCCGGACAAACGGGATCGTCCAATCAGATTTGTTTATTTCAGTGACGCATGTGAAACAAAGGAGCTCATTGGTCACCGTTATTTACACATGATCACATTTCTCTCTCTTCAGATGAACAGAGTTTAGAGCTTCTCTCTCTTCTCTCAGAAATCCTCCATGTTTTACTGCCCCTGTGATATATTTGCCTTTTTTTTTTTTTTTCGATACAGACGATGCATGTCCTTGACTGGCCAATCCACTTGTCAATCATGCCTGAACTCAGATCACATCTGTGTGAAGTATTGGAGTAGTATGTGTTTCAGATCCTAAACAACACAAATCACGTGTTTGTGTGTTAAATATGATCACTGCTCAGTATCAGTAACATCAGCTAAAAGGAACTTACTATTTACAGCACTACTACAAACTCTTGACTGTAGTCTGTAGTTTGCAGAACATTTTAGTGATGAGGGGTAAAAAAATCTTCAGTTTTATTTCCAGGTAAAACAGCCCAGTCCTGCTATAGAGGTACTTACAGGATATCCAAACCCAGAGCCAGATCCTGTTCCAGGTTCTCCCTTCTCTCCTTTGTAGCCGTTCACTCCAGGACGACCCTACAACACAAACACACATCACATTATTAATACAAAATAATACAACTATGAGGTAAAACTCATAAGCAGCAAACATTCAAATGTGTTTAAAGACTCACAGGTCGACCAGGCATCCCGATCTCCCCTTTAATTCCCTGAGGACCTTGAGGACCCTGAACACAACACAGCACATGTGTGAATATTAAACATTGTGAATAATAAAGTGTACACAGACAAACATTTACTCACAGGAGGTCCCATGGATCCCACGAGTCCTCTGTCACCCTGGAAGAAAACACCGAAAATGAAAGACAAGCACACAGTGCACATATGAAAACATCATAACCAAGAACAAAACATCAAATAAATAATATTAACACAATAAACACAAATACGTAGCTTATGTACCAGAAAAGATCATCGACTGAACCGATATTTAGAAGCCGATATTCAATCCAGTTGGGGAGTAAAGGATTACATGTACCAACGTTAATCGACGTAATCAGAGTACAAATTATGAGTAACTGTACTCAGATACAGTTACTGTTTCAATGAGTGGTAATTGGGATTGGTAAACCAGGACTAAACCAGGACTAAACCAGGTCTAAACCTGAACTAAACTAGGTCTAAACCAGGACTAAACCAGGACTAAACCAGGTCTAAACCAGGTCTAAACCAGGTCTAAATCAGAACTAAACTAGGTCTAAACCAGAACCAAACCAGGACTAAACCAGATTTAAACTAGATCTAAACCAGGTCTAAACCAGGACTAAACCAGGATTAAACCAAGACTAAACCAGGTCTAAACCAGGACTAAACCAGGTCTAAACCAGGACTAAACCAAGACTAAACCAGGTCTAAACCAGGACTAAACCAGGACTAAACCAAGACTAAACCAGGTCTAAACCAGGACTAAACCAGGACTAAAACCCGTAATCTCATATCGAAAGCATTTCTCTATCAATAATATTTTTAATCTGGTTAAGTAAAGACTGGGCTTTTTATTGTCTTTCTGTTCTTCTGTTCAGATTTCTTAGTCTTTTCTTCTCTACAGTAAACTGTTGCTTTTACATAAAGACTTGGGCTCAACAGCCAGTTTGAAGAGAACAGACAAGAATTTGCATTTTGTGTTTGCTACATCCATGTCGTTTTATAAAGCATGACAATATCAAGTAATCCAAAGTATTCAGATTACATTACTCACTTTAAGTAATTTAATGGATTACGTTACAAACTACATTTTGGGATATGTAATCTGTAATCTGTAGGGGAATACATTTTAAAAGTCACCATCCCAACACTGCTGATGCATGTCTAATCTGTGACTGTTTTTGTGAATATTTTACAGCTCTGGTCCATTCAGCTCAGGTCTCTTCACACTGACCTTCTGTCCTGTGAGTCCTTCCAGTCGGAGGAAGCTTCCATCAGGACCCACCACCAGCCCAGGCTCCCCCTTCTCCCCCTGAACACAGAGACAAAGGTGTTAACGTTCACACTAAACCAAGCAAAGTCTATTTAAAAAACACAGAGGGATGCTTACCTTGAGACCAAATCCAGGCACACCAGGCTCTCCACGCTCTCCTTTAGGTCCAACGGGGCCCTAAGGCAAGACATAGAGTTAAATATCAAATCCTAGAGTGATGCATGAGAGGACTTTTTAAAGAGACGTTGTGTGATTTGTGCGAATAATGAAGAGCGCTACTACAGAGTGTGTTACATTGTGATGCTTTTGTAAATGAAAATACTCACAGGGAATCCAGCCTGACCGGGCAGACCAGGTCCTCCCTGTGCACAACAACATCACACTTCAACTTGATGATTTTTATATTTGTTTCACCAGAGTGTTTGAGGAAAAGTGTGACTTACCTGAGGTCCAACACCACCAATGACATGGTCCACCTGTGGAGCAGAGACAGAGCATGAGCAAAGTCCACATATCAGCAGCATGTGACACTACTGGTGGTTTTCAGATTCTAGAACACAGGTGTCAAACTGTGCCCTCCAAGACCTTTAATCTGGCCCTCGACTGATTTTCTACTAAAATATTTTAATTATATTTTCTATTAAAATATTGTTAATTTTCTGGGGTGTTTATCACAGCAGCGTCTCCAGCGTCTCTGTACGTGGCCCCTCCCACCAGAGCAGCACAAATGAAGACTTGTCTCTTTCCAAACGCTCTTAAAGGACGATCGTTTTGACTGACACGAGAGCTGGGTATCATTAAGAAGTTGCCGATATGATACAAACCTCAATACAGTGAGCTTCTATACGATATATTTCAAATTGATTAGATACAATTGTATTAAAAATAAAGGCTAAATCAAGGCTGTGATACTAAAAGTCTTTGTTAAATCACTTCTTGTGCAAAGTTAACACGAAACACAAACATTTTAATCATCAAAACACATAAATGAGTTTCCTTCTTCTAAACAAACAACAAAACTGTAGCTGTAACAAAATAATTTAGCAAAATATACCAAAAAATACTCTCAGCGATATATATCGATACAGCAGCCCACGATATCAATACTGTATCATCACATTAAACGATACGATATATCGATATTTTGATATTTTTGCACACCCCTACGTGACACCCTCATCAGCAAAATGTCAAAAATGAGAAAAGTGGAGCCGAGTGCAGGATTTTCCATCAAAAATGGACTTATTCCTATTTTCCCACAAGTTAATGTTAAAATATTGTGTTGAAATTACATTTTTGTTAAAGTTTCAGGTTGTTCATAATATTATAATTTTAATATTTTGTAAAAGAAAGAGTTCATCAATTTAAAAAAGATTTCTCTAATAGATTTGTGTTTCTCTGCACAAATGTTTGAACTTATTGTTATTTTTAGGGTTTATATGACATGAGTTTTCTGATCCGGCCCCTTTGGGATTAAAGTCGGTTGGATACGGCCCCCGGACCAAAATGAGTTTGACACCTCTGTTCTAGAATGTGATAATTATCTCATCATGTTCCCAGATAATGCAGAAAGAGAAAGTTTTCCCTATTGATTACACTATACTTTCATGACAAATATGTAAAAAAGTAAATTCACAAATATTCAACTTGATAATTTGTATTCGTGACTAGACCCAAGACCTCCATGTATTAAAATAAAAAACTGTAGTCTAATAATATAAATGTTTGCTGCCCCCATCTGTATTAAATATTATTTGCCAATAGAATACCATAGAGAGGAGCTTTAACTCTCCTGGACACATGCAGAGTTAACCAATCACAGACAAGCCTTGTCCGACAAAAACATTGTATTAATAATCGCTGTCAGGGCAACGACAGTTTAGTTTTAGTTTTAGTTTATTGCACTTATTTAGTGTCATGTACCATTTAATTGGTGCCCAGCCCACATGGGCTTATAAGACACATAAAACAAGAAGCAGACAGATCACACATCAAACATAAAGTGTCCTCTTACGGAGGTCCCAGGCTTTCAACACAAACTGAGCCAACTTAAAAACATTACATTTAAACAAATACTTCAGTCTTTCCTCATTAGACATAACAAACCAACAGAAAGAAACATTAGACACAACTGACAGCGAAGGTCATGATACAAAGGACAGTAAAACAGAAAATGCATTTCATTTTCAATGTCCTTTAAGTCGCACAGACACAAGTGCTCCTCCTCTGGGACTGAGTGGAATCGTCCCGTCTCCAAGGCCAGAGGCAGAGTCCCACACCTCAACTGGGCACAAACTGACCTCTGACCTCTGCTCAGGTTCAGGGTGACATATGGTTCAGGTCCAAAACAGTATAATTAAGATATATGTTCTTAATTTTGGTTTACATAAGATTTCATTGTGCCACTTTTGTTTCTGCTTATCAAAGTAAATGTTCCTCGCTTGTCTGACACTACAGATGAACTTATTTCTGTAAATAAACTGGAGATCTGCAATCTCAAAAATGTTCTCCATCTCTCTACTCCAGGACGATTTATGTAACAGACTCCAGTTAAAAACATGTTTGGTTCATCTTGTGTCTGGCATTAACCAACCTGTTCCATAACCGCACCATATCACAAATGTGTCTCACTTCACATGGTTCCAGCCCAGATCTCCACACAGAGAAGTTTAGGCTCCTTTTTGTGCACGTCTAAAAAGTAGCTCAGAGCTCTGCACTGAACTTTTTCACTGTGGGTGTGTTTACAGTGACCCCAGACTCCAGCGCCACAGTCCAGAACAGGACAGACACAGGCCCTGGACAGTTCAGTGTAGGTTTTGTAGCCCAGGTCACGACACGCTTTAACTTTATTTATCATTGAACCTAAGGCTCGACCTGCTGAATCTGACAGAGCTTTGATTCCTTCATCAAATGTAAGATGTTCATCCAAAACAAGTCCCAGATATTTGTACTTTTTTGTTAAGGACAAGGAAGTGGCACCAAAATGGAATTGAAAGTTCATTAATTTATGGCTCTGTTTTCTAAAACGAATCACCTGAGTTTTCTCACAATTTATCTTCAGTCTCATTTTGTTGCACCAGGTATGAACAATATTTATAAAAATGGGTATGATGCAAACATTCTGTACATCATGATGTTTGTGTGTTTCTACTGCTCCTTACATTGTCTGGGCTCTTGTAGATGATCTGTCCTGGAGGTCCGGGGGGTCCTGGAGGTCCTTGAAGTCCAGTTCCATCTCGGCCTGGTTCTCCCTGAAAACAGCACATACACTGGGTTAGTCTGAGTACAGAGAGCATCACAGGGTTAGAACAATAGAAGTGGACTTGGGTAAAAAAGTGCACATGCTGCTCTTTGTCTTCAGTGAGACATGTCTCCTCCTGCCTCTGTCTGCGCAGGTGAGTCTGAGTTTGTCTGCAGGTGAGTCTGGGTCTGTCTGCACAGGTGAGTCTGGGTCTGTCTGCACAGGTGAGTCTGGGTCTGTCTGCACAGGTGAGTCTGTCTGCAGGTGAGTCTGTCTGCAGGTCTGTCTGCAGGTGAGTCTGGGTCTGTCTGCGCAGGTGAGTCTGGTCTGTCTGCGCAGGTGAGTCTGGGTCTGTCTGCACAGGTGAGTCTGTCTGTCTGCACAGGAGTCTGGGTCTGTCTGCACAGGTGAGTCTGGTCTGTCTGCACAGGTGAGTCTGGTCTGTCTGCAGGTGAGTCTGGGTCTGTCTGCACAGGTGAGTCTGGGTCTGTCTGCAGGTGAGTCTGGGTCTGTCTGCACAGGTGAGTCTGGTCTGTCTGCAGGTGAGTCTGGGTCTGTCTGCACAGGTGAGTCTGTGTCTGTCTGCAGTGAGTCTGTCTGTCTGCACAGGTGAGTCTGGGTCTGTCTGCACAGGTGAGTCTGGGTCTGTCTGCACAGGTGAGTCTGTGTCTGTCTGCACAGGTGAGTCTGGGTCTGTCTGCACAGGTGAGTCTGGGTCTGTCTGCACAGTCTGTCTGCAGGTGAGTCTGGGTCTGTCTGCAGGTGAGTCTGTCTGTCTGCAGGTGAGTCTGGGTCTGTCTGCAGGTGAGTCTGGTCTGTCTGCGCAGGTGAGTCTGGGTCTGTCTGCGCAGGTGAGTCTGGGTCTGTCTGCGCAGGTGAGTCTGGTCTGTCTGCGCAGGTGAGTCTGGGTCTGTCTGCGCAGGTGAGTCTGGGTCTGTCTGCGCAGGTGAGTCTGGGTCTGTCTGCAGGTGAGTCTGCGTCTGTCTGCGCAGGTGAGTCTGGGTCTGTCTGCACAGGTGCGTGTGGGTCTGTCTGTTCAGGTGAGCCTGAGTATTCACGTTGCATTTAAAGTGTGTTGTCATGTCAATATGTTCAGTGATCAGCTGATGCACTGTCATGTGGCTCATGGTGTGTGTTTGGGATGAATGATGTGTGGTGTATGTGAACATGGCCAAACAAAAAGTAAAGTAAACCGAACAAAATCTAGTGCACACTGGGGTCAGTCCAGAGAGCGCAGGAACATGTGTGAAAATAACCTTGGCTACAGAGAGCCTGAGGAAAAACAGATTCTATAAACAACAACAACTTACTCGGTCTCCTTTGTCTCCTCTGTCTCCTTTAAGACCCTGAAACAAGAGAAACAAGACATGTCACATACACATAATCTGATGTATACAAATCTATGGGAGACTCATGTATAGATCTTGAGCTCGGCTTGGTCATGGCCACCTTAATTGAAAGATCATGCATATTTTGGAGTGAACAAACAAAAGATATTGAACTAGGTGCCAGTTTTTTGTTTCATATGGATAGTCATTACAGAGACATGGACCATCAACCACATCAACAAATCTGCAATTTCATAGTTACACAGCAACTCCACCGGTGTATTCTGATCTGTCTCCAGCTCAGGTTAAACTAGAGGAATATTATAATGTGCTGGTGTCATATGTAGGTCAGGTCTCACCTGAGGTCCAGGGAACCCATCCAGACCAGGCTGTCCATCTCTGCCCTGAGACCCCTCAGCGCCCTTATTTCCTGGGAACCCGGGGAGGCCTGGTTTACCCTGAAGTACCACACAACAGAGGGATTACTCAACTATTCTTTTCAAAGTACTTTATTTCTCTGGCACATTCATACACGGCATAAGGAAAAACAGGGGTCACTGAGAACACTGATGAAAAGAGATAATATAAATATACAGATAAAAACAGTGTTTAGTCATTAAAAGAGGGACATAGACTCTTTCCATTAGTTCCTGTTCAAAAGTCTAACTGAAGTTGGACAAAAGAGGACATGGCTCGCTTGGTTCTCAGAGGAGAGACAAGAAGCTCCTGTAGCTGGAGCAGTCTGTTCTGGTCATGGGGGCAGTGAGATCAGAGTGCCCTTTTTTAATGTCAGACTTGGAAGAGAGTTATCCAAGGTGTGGCATTCTAAAGATTTTGTCACTCATCAGGGTGATGTTCTTTAGGGGCCCTTAGTCTTAGCAGACTGCAGAAGAGAGCAGACCAGACCAAACTGTTCTAGAACAACTGAAGGATGGAGTAAAGAACCTGCAGCCTCTCAAGTTTGCATAGGAAGTGTAAATGTTGGCAGAAATGGTACTGTGGTTAGTGTATTAAGGTTAAGGTGTTCTCTGCATTTGACCCGTCCTTCAGTGGGTCTGGGTTATCTGGAGGAGCACTGTGCATGTTTTAGCTTCATATGAGGAGACCAGAGGAATCCCACAGACACAAGCAGAACATGCAAACCCATTGTTCATATATTGACTAACGTTGTGACTAGCAAATGGACTTTCTGTGGTTTCAGTGTGTTCAGTAACTTACAGGAAGTCCTGGGAGTCCAGGTGGGCCCTAAACACACATTTACAGAATTATTAAAATAAATGTAAAAAAGAAAGTAAAATATAAAACTCGGATTAAGCCGGTACAAACCTGTGGTCCCTCTGGCCCTCTGAGTCCAGGAAGTCCAACTCCTCCAGAACCTTCCATATCGTCCTATAAACATGAGAGAAACCTGGTTTAATCCTGGTTTAGTCTGAACTTAGACTTGGCTCAGACTTTTTTAGTTTAGGTTAGGTTTAGTTTAGACCTGGTTTCTGCTTATTTTAGACCAGGATTAGCCCTGGTTTAGTATGATGTTACAGTCCTGGTAAATAGGTCTGACTCAGTCTGGAATTAGTCCTGTTTAAGTCCTGGATTAGTCCAAGTTTAGTCCTGGTTTAGCCCAGGTTTAGTCAGATAGTACATCGATTCTTCCACAGTCTGAAGGGGGACTTACGAATCCTGCTCTGGATCTTCCTGGTCCTGGGGGTCCGGGGGGGCCAGGGGGTCCCATTGGTCCCATGGGTCCCGGAAGTCCGGCCAGACCAGGCTCTCCGGCAGACCCAGGCAAGCCCGGCTCTCCTCTGTCCCCCTGAAAAGCAACACAGGAGTCAATCTACGTTGTGAAGGCTGCATTAGTACAGTTATGAATAAAACAAACACAGCTCATTCTACTGATGACAGGTGCATGAAAGCGAACACAGAAGTGCTTGAGAGCTCTCTCCTCACAGCAAAGACTCAAAAAAGGTAGCTGAGTTGGCTACTAAATTAAAAACTGTAAGTAAGTAAGTAAAGTTGATTTACATAGCTCTTTTCACAGACATAGGTCACAAAGTGCTTCACATGCAAAAGATAAAAACAGCAGCAGATACATTTATAATCAAATCAATTCAGTCAGAGCAGCTCTAAACCTGAGGGGGCACAACGCTTGTTCAAAGAGAAATGTTTTAGTTGCTTCTACATGATCTAGAGAGCATAGGTAAGAAGGAGACAGTTGGTTCCAGAGGTTAGGGGAGAGGGTTGTCACTTCATGTTTTTAAACTTGTCTGAGGGATCATGAGCAGGTTTTGGCTGCTGGACCTGAAGCTCTGGGTCGAGGTGTACGACTTTATCAGATCTGTGATGGAAACAGGAGTCTGGTCCTGTTGGGCCCTAAAGGTCAACACCAGGATCTTAAAGTGGACATGAAAAAAACCAGGGAGCCAGTGTTTGGATTTGAAGATCAGAGTGATGTGCGTTCTCCTGATGGTGCAAGTCTTGCAGCAGAGTTTTGGACCATCTGCAGCTGGGTCAGTTCATTCTTGCTCAGAGAGGTAATCAGACTGTTACAATCGTCTAGTCTGGAGGACACAAACACATGGATCATCATCTCTAACTCAGCTTTAGAAATCATCATGCAAAGTTTAGATGTTTCACTGTTGGAAAAGGCAGTTTTTAGTAAGTTGCTTAGAGTGGTGTTCTAAAGACATTGCAATGTCAAAACATATCCCTAGATTTCTTAAGTTGTCTCTAGTTGAATTTCCCAGGGCACCTACGTCTACGTTCAGACTGCAGGGCTTAACAATCCGTGTATCATTCGTTCATTCGTTTTTCAATATAAAACCAAAAATAAGAAAACGAAAAAACAACAGTTTTCTTCGTTATTTGTCTCCAAAACCAAAATGAAAAAACGGATATTGATTCGTTTTTTCAGTTTCGATTTTGTGTTTAAATGAAGAATGGAAAAAACGGATAACGGCCGTTTCCCGTTTACGTGACTTCCGTGACTGCGATGCCGGACTTTTACACCGGGTACGGACTGAACCAGGACTGATCCAGGTCCGAGACCAGACCGGGACCAGAGCGGGACTAGAGCGGGACCAGAGCGGGACCAGACCAGGACCAGAGCAGGACTAGAGCAGGACTGGGGCGGACTCCAAGCTTTGACTCTGAGCCTCCGCGGGGTCCAAGCCTCAGCTTCGAGCTCCGGCCCTGCCGTGGGCTCTGAGCCTCCAATCTGGTCTCGGTCTTGTCTCTGTCTCAGGCCCGGTCTGGTCCCAGTCTCAGTAGCGCTCTGGTCCCGGTCTGATCCCGAACCTGGTCCATTTGAACCAAAAGCTCTTAGTTCGGTTCGTTTTCGTTGGTGTGAAAGCGTCAGTTGGATGCTTTGCACCACCTCGGAACCAGCCGCGGTTCTGGAGCAGCCCGTCCGGACCTGTAGTCCACAGCGCATTCTCACTTTCCCCACACGGAACCAGCGCGGAGACGATGACACGGAACCGCTCGGACCGCTGATCTCGGTCTCAGTTCCGCTCTGATCCCGCTCTGGTCTCGGACCTGGATCAGTCCTGGTTCAGTCCGTACGCGGAGCAAAAGTTCGGCATCGCAGTCACGGAAGTCACGTAAACGGGAAACGGCCGTTATCCGTTTTTTCCATTCTTCATTTAAACACAAAATCGAAAACTGAAAAAACGAATCAATATCCGTTTTTTCATTTTGGTTTTGGAGACAAATAACGAAGAAAACTGTTGTTTTTTCGTTTTCTTATTTTTGGTTTTATATTGAAAAACGAATGAACGAATGATACACGGATTCTTAACGCTCAATTCAGATTTTTTTGTGAAATCCCATGTTTTTGCGAGGTCGTTCACATTTCCAATTAAATGTGACTTGTATGTGACTCCAGTGTGAACATTAAACGGCCCAAAAGTGTCCCACATGTGACACTAGAAACACGACGACCTCAACCGCAGCGAGCGTCTCTGTGTTTACAGAAGTTGTCCAAACATGGACGCAGCATTGAGCACCTGGAGATTTTAAAGTTCCTCTTGTACCGGAGCCAGAACATGAACAACTTACTTGTTTTAAGGAGGAGATTGAGAAGGAGAAGGTTTTTGGTCGTGGTGTTTTGTGGGACAGAACGTTGAAAGGAACGTGTGGATGTGGAGACGGAGCCAAGAGTGGTGAGTGGTGATGTGCTTCACTTCAGTGACACAGAGTTCATTAACAATTTTCGCCTACTTCAGCGCAGAATAGTGACGTTTGTGTCTTGTTGATAACGTGTAGGTGGATGAATGCACTTTGACTGTTCAGACTGAAGTCACATGACAAAAGATCAGATATGTATCAGTTTCAGGAGCACATATCCAAGTGTCCTGGGTCACATTTGAAAAAATCAGATCTGTGTGGTTCAGACTGTCATTAAAAGATCAGATACAGGAACATAGGGGCAAAAAAAATTGGATTTGGGTCACTTCAGGCTGCAGTGTGAACGTAGCCTAAGTATTGGGGAGCACACGTTCTGGAGCAACAATAAGAGTCTCAGTTTTGTGCTGCTGTTAAACAACACAGAGACAGACAGGATTTACAGAATGGTGGTAAATGTTAAAACTGTGTTAAGAGACCAAAGTAAACCTTACTCTTGTAAACCAGAAAAACTGAGGAACTTAGAGGTCAGGACTAAACACCGGGAGTCCGAGTTTCAAACTCATGCAACTACAGCCAGGAGCAGTCTGAACATATGACACAGACTCGACCTTGACTCTGTTTAAATCCAGACTCAAAATGCTTCTGTTTATCTGCATATCACTGAAAGGTTTTGATTCTGCACTCTTCTCTTTTAATGTTCATTTTATGGTGATTATTTGAGTTTTGATTTATTTGTATTGTGATTTGAATGTATTTCTTATTCTGTAAAGCACTTTGAATGACTTTGTGTATGAATTGTGCTATATAAATGTGCCTTTAGTTAGCGCCCTCTAATGGACAAACTGAGGGATATATGTATCTAAACTCCAAATGGAAATCCCACCAAAGAGAGGCAATGGGTGTGACATGTCTTGCCTAAAAACACAACAACAGTTTGCACTAGAGTCATGGCTGCCCCACTGTGGCATCTGACATTCCCAGGTGTCTCTATCCAAGTCCTAACCAGACTTGACCTGCTTAGCTTCAGCTTCAGCTTCAGCTTGTAGACCTGAGACCTGACGGAGGTACGACCAACTCACCTTTGCACCCGACTGCTCCAGGTCGCCCCAAGACTCCAGAGTCGCCCTGAAAACAAACACAACAAACTCAGGATTAATTTAGGATTCAAAACAGAAGATTGTACATACTGTTTGGTTCATTTCAAAAACATTTTCAAAATAAAACTCTCAGTCATTATCTTTAGCTATAAATACATAATGAAAATGATGTTGTTGTTTTTTTTTACTTTAGACGAAGAAGGATTAGTGTTGAGACCTGGTTTAGTCCAAGATTAAGATGAAGCTTTCCTCAGGTATCTGATGATTTTCTGATTTAATTTAGTGTTAAAATGCGTTAAATAATGACTGGGTTGTTACCTTTTCTCCTTTGGGTCCCGGGCGTCCGATCACTCCTTCTTTCCCGGGCAGACCGGGTCGTCCCTGGACACAGATCAGGTGAGGCTCAGGTCACTGGGTTAGTTTAGTTTAAAGATGACATTTGAACAGCATGATCTATTTCCAGTCATTTTCTGATATATTTAGAGCAAACCAGGTAAATTTGCTGCTTCCCATTTCAAAACTGAGCTTGTGCTGCTTCCAGTGCAATTTCAAGTACTATGTGACATCACACTGGACTGCCTTGACTACAGACTGTCCAACTTTACTTTAGTATATCCTCAGATACTCACAGGCTGACCGGGGGCTCCATCCTTCCCTGGGGGTCCGAATGCCCCGGAGCTCAGAGCAGTGCCGGTGGAGGGGCTGGGGGGACCAGGGGGACCGGGGGGGCCAGGTAAACCAGGGGGGCCCTAAAGATACACAACACAAATATCATTTAAGTCACTCAGAATTATGAAGAACAAAAGTGAAATAAAGTTATGATTGAAGATCTCACCCGGAGAGTCTCCAGATCAGGGAAGCCAGAGCCCTCCATGTCCACAAACGTCTGGAACAGGAAATGAGACCAGTTATACGTCTGTCTGTTACTCTATATGTCTTTCTTATATGATAAACTCTGGCCTATCTGAACCAGGTGTACAGGTGAATTTTAAGTCAGATGCCCTTCCTGTTCCAACTCAACACATGACTGAGTGGGTGGGTCAGTGTGGGTGAGGAGCAGTTTATGACATCTGAACCAGAATCCAACCAGTTTATAGACAAATGATGAACCCACTACACCACTGCTGTTACTGTATAATATAACCCACTGATCTGTGTCCAGGTCCAGGGGGGCCAGGAGGCCCTGGGGGGCCTCTGGGTCCAGGCTGGCCTTCTCCACTGTCGCCCTGGAAACAAAGATAAAGTTTATTATGAAAAACATGCATTCACAAAGATACATTTCAATGAAGAAGGACATAAGCCAGAGCTCTAACCACACTGACCTTCTCTCCTTTAGGGCCGGTGTCTCCGGGGGTCCCTGGGAATCCTGGAGGTCCCTCGGGGCCCTGCGACACAGAGCAGAGTGCACTTTATGTGAGTGAAGAGTTCATGAGATATTGAAATAAACTAAAATAAATCAATAGAAATGGATCTTACAGTTTTTCCGTCTTCACCAGGATCTCCCTGAAACACAAGGACCAAATGTTCACAGAAAAATCACATGAAGTAAAATCTCACAAAGGATCAGCAGTTTATTTAACCCAAACAATCCATGGAATGAGAACTCTCATCACATGTTTGTGTCTGCACTTCGCTCTGTTTAAACCAGTGCATGTTAGGCTGCAGTCACACTGGCCCCTGTTGGATCCTGACTTGAGTCCATTTCAGGTGTAGACTTGGTTTGGTCCTGGTCTAGTCCAGGATTGATGCCAAATTTAGTCCTAGTTTAGTCCCCAGTGTGATGTGGTCTATGTGTAAAGCTCAGATGTGTCTGTGGAACTGACCGGCTCTCCGTCTTCTCCGGCTGGTCCCTCAGCTCCTGGGGCTCCTGGGGGCCCGGGGGGACCTCTGGGGCCGGGCACAGTTGAAACCCTAGTCCCATCACTGTTCACAGAAAACTCCGCTGGAGGACCAGGGGGGCCGGGAGGACCTGGGGGCCCAATGGGACCAGGCTCACCTTTAGAGCCCGGATACCCGAAGCCGGCACTGCCCTGGAGAGAGACAGAGAGGAGGGGGCCACAGGGGGATTTTATATTATATATAAGTATAAGTATTTCAGAGTTCTTTAATACTTTTCATAAAACTACAACTGAATCCAGAAAGCACCTGTTTAAGTTCTTCTGTGGGGTCATATCTGCTACCACACCATCATCATGCTACCTTTAATAGTTTTAAACATGCTATATTCACCAAAAATAATGGATTCAAATATTAATAAGTTTTTGATGCTTTCCAAGCCCCATCCCCCCCTTCAGAGCACTATCACAACACAATCAGCGTGCATCCTGCTAATGGATCAGGTCATGTGGGAGCATGGGGGAATAGTGCCCAGGAGAGATCAGTAGATTACTCCAACATGCATGGATGATGAGGGAACAGCGTTAGAACATGGCAGAAAGCTACAAAATGTTCAATTTACTATACAATACTATCTGATTAAACTCACCTTGGAGCCTTTTTCTCCTGGTTCTCCCTGAAAAACACAGTGACAAAGTTCAGATGCAGTTTCACATAAAAACTGTCTCTGAGATCATTTTCTGTTTAATCTACTTCTTCTTGTGTATGTTTATGTTTGTGTCAGTATTTTTCAAGTGTAACTCAAACCATTTGGACTTTTTAGCCCCCGGTACCTTATCTCCGCGGGACCCTCCTCCTCTGCTGCTGCTCGACCCAGTATCTCCCCTGGGTCCCTGGGGTCCTCTGTCTCCCTTCTCCCCCCTCTCTCCTCGGTCACCCTTATCTCCTCTGGGTCCCGCGGGTCCTGGAACAATCGCAGCCATTAGCGCCCGTGAAAAACAAAATGATTAAAGAGGAAATAATAACACGATTTAAAGTTCCCCACAGAGTTTGCCCTTTCATGCAGCCACAAAGAGAAAACAGAAGAAAAAACACATGACTTTGAACACATTCAAACTTTGTTGAATAAGTCGCTAAAAATGTCCCAGATGGACCAAGATCAAATATTTAAAAGAATAAACTGACAGTGGAAAGAAGATGGTTTTTGCCCAAGAACACAGCAACAGTACGATGGGTGTGGTCTGATGGGGTCTAGAACATTCTGAGTCCAAGACACAAGTTAAAATGAAGTTAAAGGAACTGGATGTAACATGTTCAAATCAAATATCGTTTTTACTGAGAACTATTCTAATGCTGATTTATTCTGAATGTCAAAAACAACACTGGACATGATGGACAAGTTCTTTATGTTATAATTTGATGTTTTGGTTCAAGATGATTCTCCAATCAGAAAGGAGAATGAGCCTCACATGACTCTCTCGTTTGTGTTGCCAGTTTCAGCTGAAATCCAGTGTGTTTAAACCTAAAGTGTCTCTCTAATCTGAATGATCACTCCCTAAACCCCAGCACCTGCAGCATCAGGAGTCAGTGCTAGTGCAGCCTCTGCAGCTCAGGGAGGGAATTCTGGAGGTTCTGAGCTTCACATGAGCCTGAACATAAACTGAGAATGAGACAAACGTGGTTGTGTCTCTGTCTGCAGGTGAAGACTCTGGGTCCAGCTGTGAAAGTCACTTTTTTTGTGATATATAAAATTCCTTTGAAATAAAATATGGTCATTTCTGGTTCTAAGAGACAAACACATGTCAAATTGTAAATACTAAGATTTTATATAAAGTACAATATATGAAAATAAGGAGTAAAACGTTCATTCAGTGTTCAGTTTCACACATAGACTGTATAAAAAAGTGGACTAAGTACGACTCAAATGAAACTTGCGTTGCCACGGTTACAGGGGCAAATTTAGAGCCAGACTCCATATTTGGAAATCTGACTGCAAGTCCTGTGGTTGCAAGAGCCAATCATGATTGAGGTTGTTAAATGTGCCCTCCCGTCTCAGTGGAAAGCGGGAAGGGGCTTAGCAAGGAAACACACTAGCTGTCAATCAAACCTTTGATTGGCAATGAAGGCATCTGATTGTGTTCGTTATTTATGTTCACAAAACAGTGAAATGAAAAATTCTGAATAAAGCGTCAGGTTAAGATGAACATTTAAGATCAAAATGTTGAGTCTCACAGCAGCAGGTCCAGAGAGACGAGCCACAAGATCCCAGTGTGAGTCAAAGGAGCCAGAGTCAGAAGGAGCCGGAAGAGCCACCTGGATCTCTGTCCATTCATATATACAGTCTATGATTCACACTGAGAATACAGACTCTGGACCGCCTCCTAGTGGCCGACCTGAGGAACAGCTGTTTGGACTGTGCCCAACATAAATATATCTCATTTTTACAACAAAAAGTAAATCATATTCTAAAACATATATGAAAAAAAATATATATATAATAAAATAAAACAAATAAATAAATAAATATAATGTACTGTGAGCAGTTGCTCCATCACAGCTCACAGTCCATTACAGAGCTGTTATAGTCATCATGATACTAACATTTGTAAATTCTATTTCAAAACTAAGGAAAAGGCTCCATACTGGATACGACCAATTTCAATATAACAAAGCTAATATGTTTTAAAAATATGAAATAGAATGTAATCTTTAATATTCTTTAGTTTTTTAATATGACCATGTGTCTAGTCGGGATATACTAGTAAATCAAGACCATTGAGTGTAGATGTTTCTCTTGTTTATTTATTAGAGACAAGGACAGAGCACAGTTTTCACATGAACCTTACCAGGAGAGATGTTTTTGTACCAGACTGCAGCACCAGTGTTCATTTCTACCTGTCGTCCCTGGGCAGGTTCATTGATTGATTGTATTTTTTAATTAACCTTGGCGATCAGCTGTTCTTCCTGTAGCATGTTTTGGGTCCTCCACTTGGACACGCTGCTTTAAACATGCACAGACGTGACTCCAGGACCAAACCAATCAAGCCATGCAGAGCTCCGCCCCCAAACACAAGACCCCGCCCCCTGCCCCTCACACTCTCATTCCACTGCACATGCACCTCAAACACACCAGCGTCTCTTTAGAAGCATCTGCCTTTGTTTTGGTGCGTTCGGTCTGAGCACACAGCTTCAGTCCAGACCCGTCACTCACCTGGGGCCCCGGGGCCAGACTCCACCACACTGCTCTCACGGCTCTCGGAGACCACTGCCACGACAACAAGCACTCAATCAACTGCTGCGTTAAGAGCAAAAGGGCAGCTCAAGTTTGCCCAGCTCTGGTCAAGTCCACGAATGAAACATAGAATCATGTACAGACAGTGTTGGGAAGGTGACTTTTAAAATGTAATCCCCTACAGATTACAGATTACAGATTACATACCCCAAAATGTAGTTTGTAACGTAATCCATTAAATTACTTAAAGTGAGTAATGTAATCTGAATACTTTGGATTACTTGATTTGCTGTAGAGAAGCAAAGACGAGGAAATCTTCACATAAGATGTTTTTTCTGCTAAAAGAAAATAAAAAAAGTCCAGACTTTACTGAACCAAATAAAAAATATTATTGATAGAAGAAGAAGAGACACGTCCACACAGCAGGATTTTAGTCCTGTTAAATCCTGTTTGAGTCCTGGTTTAGACCTGGTTTAGACCTGGTTTAGACCTTGTTTAGACCTGGTTTTAGACCTGGTTTAGTTTACTGCAATGAGTAGAATTACTGAAAAAAAAAAAAGGGGAAATATCCCAAAATGTGAAAAGAGGAAAATACCGCCGTGTAATCCATTTATTTAAACAAAGTAACTGTAATCCAATTACCACTCACTGAAACAGTAACTGTAACTGAATACAGTTACTCATAAATTGTACTCTGATTACATAACTCTGGTACTTGTAATCTGTTACTCCCAACACTGTGTACAGACAGCACACAATGTTGTTTTCATTTTGTTTATGGTCAATTGTCACATTTTTATACAGCACTTTTGAACTTTCAACGCTCAAAGCTTTACAACAAGAAACCACTCACACACTCACACACTCACACACTCACACACACCACTGTACACACACTGGTACACATTACTGCACTACAAAAGCAAAACGCTGTAACATCATGTTTCAAAAATGAGTTTGTGTCATGTTTGTATTTGAGATCTCCTTTAAAAATATGAATAAATATAATGAAAAATATTGAGCTCAAAATTGACCTTTGACCTTATTTGTCAGTTCCTGGTCTTTGTATCATGAGACAAAAAAAGGAGTTGTGCAAAGACAAAAGGCAACAAGTGTATGTTTTGTTTGTGATTCAGTTCATACATATGTTTATGGGGTCAAAATAGTCCCATGATAAAACATGCGTTCAGGTGCATTGTATTATTTCACACTCGTACATTTTAACTGCGAGTGAGCAAATTATCTCTGCGCACGAGGAGAAATCTGTGACCTGTGCACAAAACAACACAACAACCACTAGGGGGCAGACGCACCCTCGAAAAGACAACGAGCTCTCTCCAAGCAGATTTGCGCTCGAGTGAGTCATTTCTGCACACTCAAAATAACAAAAATAAGAACAAAAAACAACTATATTCTTCATGATTTGTCTCCAAAACTAAAATGAAAAAAATGGATAACGATTCTTTTTTTTTTTCAGTTTTCGATTTTGTGTTTGAATGAATAAAGGAAAAAACAGATAGTGTTTCCTATTTCCCTTTTCCGTGACTTAAACTGGGATACTGGACTTTTGCACCGTATATGGACGGAACCAGAAATGAATCAGGACTCAGATTTCTTCTTGTGCGCAGAGACAATTTGCTCACTCACAGTTAATATCTATGAGTGTGAAATAATACATTCCGCCCGGATGTTTTATCGTGCACGTGTATTATGAGACTATTTTGACGCCATGAATATATTTGATTTTAAAATCCAACCTCTGGCCTCCTTCTTTTTGGCTCAGGGTCTGAACACATTCAATAAATAAACCTTTGTATTCAGTTATACTTCAATGATCTTTAAAGTGAAAGTATTGTGTGTATTTGTACACACTGTACTGCAAAGTCACTTGTGTCAAACTGTTTCAGTGTGTAAATGTCGCTGCGCGATCCTGATCAACATTAAACAGAAAATCCAAAACTCTTCTAGATCATTTCAGACAAACACATGATGACTGGAGCTTGGTCACGTGTTTTGCTTCTAATGGATGGAAATCTGGAGAAAATCAAACAAATCATGATCATGTCAGTTTCTGCCTTTTGTCTTTGCATGAAAACTTATTTTTCACTCATGATACAAAGACAGAGAACAGGAACTAACAAATAAGGTCAAAGATCAATTTTGAGCTCAATATTTTTTACATACAAATATTTCTTCATTACAGTAACTAGTTGTCAATTTTAGGAGCCCTGCCTATTCTACTTTTGTCTGGACAAAACACAAACTTTGAAGTCATTTTTCTCTGTTTCACGATCTGAAGAGATAAACTCTTTTACCACTGTAGAGCAGATCAGTCTGTGGGAGCTGGAATCACACTGAAAACCTGTGGGTCAGTGGATCTGATCACTCAACTAATGAACCAAACGTTTATGTTGAGAGCAGGTTTTGAACCGCTAACGTTTAGATCAGTGGTCAAACACACTACCAACTGAGCTTTGTGTCGCCCCCTGAGCTGCGCTTATGATTTGGTCTGGTTTTACTTAGAGTGATTTGATTTGACTTTGTGCAGCTCTTTAAAAACATGCAGTGTACATATAAAGTGGATTGGAACATATACATCCAATCATCTTAGTGCATTAAGTGGACATTTAGGACTCTTTTTTCCTTTGAGATTAAGAAAGTATCTATCTATCTGTCTAATTTTTCTGATGCCTGTGGAGCCCAACAGGGCTCTAAATCTATGTCCCATGCAAAGAAAAAAACTAACAAAAAAAAGAATAATAAAAACATGAACCAAAACTCAGTCAGTGTTTACATGTTCAGAGGAGGTACTATAGTAGTACTACAGTATTATAGGATTATACTTTGAGCTGCGAATCACAGAGTCCCTCACGATACAATGCACTTTGTTCTTCTTTAAACTACGACTTGTGCAAAGTTAATATGAAATCCATGTGTTTGAATCATTCAAACAGTGAATATGTCAAGTGTATTCCATCAACAAAACCTCATCACATTTACAATCATGATATAATAATCTTTTGATATTTTTGCACACTCCTAATTAAAATGTCTGTATTCCATTTCTGTAAACAGTGTGCATCTGTCAAAGCAGATATACAGTGTGACTCCACCACTCACCACCAGATGGAGCCAGTATGTCACATGTCAGACACAGTATCGTCTTTATTCACACTCACGTCACAAACCAGGAACATGTTTGGAAAGATGTGATGAAACTTCCAGTGTAGTTCTGCCACTGGACTCACCGACCGACTGTGATCAAACCCACTGAAGTAAATGTGACTCTGTACTACAGAATTCTGTACTACAGTACTTTATAATACTTTACTCTGCACTACAGTACTCTGCACTACACTACTATGTACTATAGTACTATGTTCTATATAGTACTCTGTACTACAGTACTCTGTACTACAGTACTCTGTACTACAGTACTCTGTAATACAGTACTCTGTAATACAGTACTCTGCACTACAGTACTCTGTAATACAGTACTCTGTGTGTGTGTGTTGACTGTCAGTATTTGATCTCTAGTTTTGATGAAAATTTGGTGGCAAATTCTGCGGCAAATGTAAATACATATAATTATTTAAACATAAATACTTCATATAAATATAATTTTTGTAATTGAAAAAATTAACAACATTCAAGATGCAGATGCAGGGGTGTGGAGGACCAGAGTCGCCCCACGGGCCTTAGTTTGATGACTCCTGATCTTTAATTTGGCTCCTCATCTCTTCTGATCACATGTACCAGTGCACTTGGAGTTGTGTGTCAGTGGAGAAATGATGAAAACTGAGGGATAGTTGAATTGTTAAAGGTTGTATAGAGGATTTTCCAAGGAACGAGAAATCCAGCGACTGTTTGTCCTTTTTCAAATGTCGCGCATGCGTGAAACCACCCCCCCCTCCCCTACAGCTCCCTACGTAGAAACACCTCCTCCCGCCTCCTCTTTACGCCAGAAACAGCTTTGTTTACAGCCGGTGCGCTGCACATGACTTGTAAACAACTAACTACAGTGTTGGTTAGGCAAGACGGAGAAGTGAGGAGCGGGGGGAGCGGGTGTGCGGACATTTCGTTCGCGGACGAGAAGTGAGGATCAGGGAGAAGAGCGGAGCAGGGAGCAGGGAGAGGAGAGGGAGTGGTGTGCGGAGATTCTGTGCCCGGAGAAGTGAGGAGCAGGGGGAAGAGTGGATCGGGCAGCGGGGACAGGAGCAGGAAAGGGGAGCAGAGAAGAGTGCGCAGAGATTCAGTGCGAATGAACTAGCTACAACACGCAGCAGCAAGCGGACTCTTTCTTTGCACTGAAAATTACGTTTTCAGACATAGGATATCACATTCGTGTCCTGAAAAAACGTTTGTCCAGCTCTTGGAAATAAAGTACGTTTTCATAATAAGCAGAAGTGACCTGTCCAGGAGTAATTTGGCGACCAATGCGTCAGTCTTTAGACCCTGCGTCTGCTTCAGTTGCGCCATCGCTGGAATGAATCTTCAAGAATCACCTTAGTTTAGCTTCGCTGCTTTTCTCCTTGTCTTCTTCTTTCAGCGACCTCAAAAACTGACTTTCTTTTGCGGCTAACTGCTCCTGGATTCTTGTCGCCATTTGCAACAAACTTTGTGTGAACTGCGAGGAAGATATAGGTCAAAAAAAGCCGCTAAGAACTGTTGCGTTGGTGGAGTAAACAGCGTCTGTGCGGCTTGCGTCTGTGGACTGCGTGACAGGCGTACGTAAACCACGTACCGGCGGCGCGCAGGCAAGTCAGTTACACTAGAAACGTAGGGAGATTGATTGACAGCCTGTCAGCTCACAGATAACGAGGCAGTGTCGTTATCTATTGGCAAATGTTTAGCCCCACCACGTCCAGAGTTGATGAATTTTTATTCTCTTTTTTTTGGTCATCATAATTACAAGGCTACTGCACCTTTATAATGCTATCATTGACAACTTGAAACAAAAAAAACCAAAAAAAAAATCCTCCATACAACCTTTAATGAGCCAGACATAACAGAACACAACAATGACACGGAGATGAAGAAAACTGGGACATTTTCTCAGTTTTCCTACATTTTGTCAGACTTACTACTGTGAACAGATCCTCCCAGAAGTTGTATTTGCATCTCTCCAAACATCTTCCTGGTTTGTGACATAAGCGTGAATAGAGCCTATTCCATTTCTACAAACACTGTCTGTCAAACCAGATTATTCAGTGTGACTCCACCACCGGCCACCAGAGGGAGCCACAGTAACATGTTTCAGAGCACAGTGTTTGTACACACACCGCAGCACACTGACTCTGTGTTTGTGTGGGGTGAGAGTTTTATGTGTTTAATGGGACAAGCTGCAGATTTGTAAATCACCTTCCATTTTAAAAACAATAAAGCTGGTCTGTGTAACTTTGGTGATTTTCTGCCTGTTTTTTGTCTGTTATGTTCCACAGTACTGCATTAAAAGTACATTACAGGTCAGATCTATGCAGAGGCGACTTTGCTCACAGTAGAAATACATGTTTTACAAGCAACAGAAACACCTGGAATTGATGAAAGATGGATGTGTTTAATGCCATATTGCGGAACTTATCAGACAACGTAATAAAATAAGAAGATAAGAAACAAGCAGAAACAAACCCCCACCGGAAATGTTACATAGTGCAGCATTAATTCACATGTGTATTGTTGTGGTGCTGTTGTGTCCTCTGCTGTCCGCACTGCCCTCACTGTCCACCAGAGGGAGACATGTGCCCACACACGCACAGGGACAAGTCCAAACCAGTTTAAAAATGTGTGAACCTCCTGAACCTGCAACTTTGACTAAAGAAACAGTGACTAAAGCTCAGAGGAGGAGCTGTGTTTGTCTCACAGGTCTGGTGGTCCTAAACACCTTTCACTGTCACTGTCAGTCAGTCTGTGTACCAGCGGATCTGACGTTTAGAAGAAAAAGTACGGTGACGTTACAAGNCACATAAAAACTGTCTCTGAGATCATTTTCTGTTTAATCTACTTCTTCTTGTGTATGTTTATGTTTGTGTCAGTATTTTTCAAGTGTAACTCAAACCATTTGGACTTTTTAGCCCCCGGTACCTTATCTCCGCGGGACCCTCCTCCTCTGCTGCTGCTCGACCCAGTATCTCCCCTGGGTCCCTGGGGTCCTCTGTCTCCCTTCTCCCCCCTCTCTCCTCGGTCACCCTTATCTCCTCTGGGTCCCGCGGGTCCTGGAACAATCGCAGCCATTAGCGCCCGTGAAAAACAAAATGATTAAAGAGGAAATAATAACACGATTTAAAGTTCCCCACAGAGTTTGCCCTTTCATGCAGCCACAAAGAGAAAAACAGAAGAAAAAACACATGACTTTGAACACATTCAAACTTTGTTGAATAAGTCGCTAAAAATGTCCCAGATGGACCAAGATCAAATATTTAAAAGAATAAACTGACAGTGGAAAGAAGATGGTTTTTGCCCAAGAACACAGCAACAGTACGATGGGTGTGGTCTGATGGGGTCTAGAACATTCTGAGTCCAAGACACAAGTTAAAATGAAGTTAAAGGAACTGGATGTAACATGTTCAAATCAAATATCGTTTTTACTGAGAACTATTCTAATGCTGATTTATTCTGAATGTCAAAAACAACACTGGACATGATGGACAAGTTCTTTATGTTATAATTTGATGTTTTGGTTCAAGATGATTCTCCAATCAGAAAGGAGAATGAGCCTCACATGACTCTCTCGTTTGTGTTGCCAGTTTCAGCTGAAATCCAGTGTGTTTAAACCTAAAGTGTCTCTCTAATCTGAATGATCACTCCCTAAACCCCAGCACCTGCAGCATCAGGAGTCAGTGCTAGTGCAGCCTCTGCAGCTCAGGGAGGGAATTCTGGAGGTTCTGAGCTTCACATGAGCCTGAACATAAACTGAGAATGAGACAAACGTGGTTGTGTCTCTGTCTGCAGGTGAAGACTCTGGGTCCAGCTGTGAAAGTCACTTTTTTGTGATATATAAAATTCCTTTGAAATAAAATATGGTCATTTCTGGTTCTAAGAGACAAACACATGTCAAATTGTAATACTAAGATTTTATATAAAGTACAATATATGAAAATAAGGAGTAAAACGTTCATTCAGTGTTCAGTTTCACACATAGACTGTATAAAAAAGTGGACTAAGTACGACTCAAATGAAACTTGCGTTGCCACGGTTACAGGGGCAAATTTAGAGCCAGACTCCATATTTGGAAATCTGACTGCAAGTCCTGTGGTTGCAAGAGCCAATCATGATTGAGGTTGTTAAATGTGCCCTCCCGTCTCAGTGGAAAGCGGGAAGGGGCTTAGCAAGGAAACACACTAGCTGTCAATCAAACCTTTGATTGGCAATGAAGGCGTCTGATTGTGTTCGTTATTTATGTTCACAAAACAGTGAAATGAAAAATTCTGAATAAAGCGTCAGGTTAAGATGAACATTTAAGATCAAAATGTTGAGTCTCACAGCAGCAGGTCCAGAGAGACGAGCCACAAGATCCCAGTGTGAGTCAAAGGAGCCAGAGTCAGAAGGAGCCGGAAGAGCCACCTGGATCTCTGTCCATTCATATATACAGTCTATGATTCACACTGAGAATACAGACTCTGGACCGCCTCCTAGTGGCCGACCTGAGGAACAGCTGTTTGGACTGTGCCCAACATAAATATATCTCATTTTTACAACAAAAAGTAAATCATATTCTAAAACATATATGAAAAAAATAAATATATATAATAAAATAAAACAAATAAATAAATAAATATAATGGACTGTGAGCAGTTGCTCCATCACGGCTCACAGTCCATTACAGAGCTGTTATAGTCATCATGATACTAACATTTGTAAATTCTATTTCAAAACTAAGGAAAAGGCTCCATACTGGATACGACCAATTTCAATATAACAAAGCTAATATGTTTTAAAAAATATGAAATAGAATGTAATCTTTAATATTCTTTAGTTTTTTAATATGACCATGTGTCTAGTCGGGATATACTAGTAAATCAAGACCATTGAGTGTAGATGTTTCTCTTGTTTATTTATTAGAGACAAGGACAGAGCACAGTTTTCACATGAACCTTACCAGGAGAGATGTTTGTACCAGACTGCAGCACCAGTGTTCATTTCTACCTGTCGTCCCTGGGCAGGTTCATTGATTGATTGTATTTTTTAATTAACCTTGGCGATCAGCTGTTCTTCCTGTAGCATGTTTTGGGTCCTCCACTTGGACACGCTGCTTTAAACATGCACAGACGTGACTCCAGGACCAAACCAATCAAGCCATGCAGAGCTCCGCCCCCAAACACAAGACCCCGCCCCCTGCCCCTCACACTCTCATTCCACTGCACATGCACCTCAAACACACCAGCGTCTCTTTAGAAGCATCTGCCTTTGTTTTGGTGCGTTCGGTCTGAGCACACAGCTTCAGTCCAGACCCGTCACTCACCTGGGGCCCCGGGGCCAGACTCCACCACACTGCTCTCACGGCTCTCGGAGACCACTGCCACGACAACAAGCACTCAATCAACTGCTGCGTTAAGAGCAAAAGGGCAGCTCAAGTTTGCCCAGCTCTGGTCAAGTCCACGAATGAAACATAGAATCATGTACAGACAGTGTTGGGAAGGTGACTTTTAAAATGTAATCCCCTACAGATTACAGATTACAGATTACATACCCCAAAATGTAGTTTGTAACGTAATCCATTAAATTACTTAAAGTGAGTAATGTAATCTGAATACTTTGGATTACTTGATTTGCTGTAGAGAAGCAAAGACGAGGAAATCTTCACATAAGATGTTTTTTCTGCTAAAAGAAAATAAAAAAAGTCCAGACTTTACTGAACCAAATAAAAAATATTATTGATAGAAGAAGAAGAGACACGTCCACACAGCAGGATTTTAGTCCTGTTAAATCCTGTTTGAGTCCTGGTTTAGACCTGGTTTAGACCTGGTTTAGACCTGGTTTAGACCTTGTTTAGACCTGGTTTTAGACCTGGTTTAGTTTACTGCAATGAGTAGAATTACTGAAAAAAAAAAAAGGGGAAATATCCCAAAATGTGAAAAGAGGAAAAAATACCGCCGTGTAATCCATTTATTTAAACAAAGTAACTGTAATCCAATTACCACTCACTGAAACAGTAACTGTAACTGAATACAGTTACTCATAAATTGTACTCTGATTACATAGCTCTGGTACTTGTAATCTGTTACTCCACAACACTGTGTACAGACAGCACACAATGTTGTTTTCATTTTGTTTATTTGTTTATGGTCAATTGTCACATTTTTATACAGCACTTTTGAACTTTCAACACTCAACGCTCAACAAGCTTCAACACTACACTCACAAGACACACTCACACACTCACACACACACACACACACAACACACACTCACACACTCACACACTCACACACTCACACTCACACACCACTGTACACACACTGGTACACATTACTGCACTACAAAAGCAAAACGCTGTAACATCATGTTTCAAAAATGAGTTTGTGTCATGTTTGTATTTGAGATCTCCTTTAAAAATATGAATAAATATAATGAAAAATATTGAGCTCAAAATTGACCTTTGACCTTATTTGTCAGTTCCTGGTCTTTGTATCATGAGACAAAAAAAGGAGTTGTGCAAAGACAAAAGGCAACAAGTGTATGTTTTGTTTGTGATTTAGTTCATAAATATATTTATGGGGTCAAAATAGTCCCATGATAAAACATGCGTTCAGGTGCATTGTGTTATTTCACACTCGTACATTTTAACTGCGAGTGAGCAAATTATCTCTGCGCACGAGGAGAAATCTGTGACCTGTGCACAAAACAACACAACAACCACTAGGGGGCAGACGCACCCTCGAAAAGACAACGAGCTCTCTCCAAGCAGATTTGCGCTCGAGTGAGTCATTTCTGCACACTCAAAATAACAAAAATAAGAACAAAAAACAACTATATTCTTCATGATTTGTCTCCAAAACTAAAATGAAAAAAATGGATAACGATTCTTTTTTTTTTTCAGTTTTCGATTTTGTGTTTGAATGAATAAAGGAAAAAACAGATAGTGTTTCCTATTTCCCTTTTCCGTGACTTAAACTGGGATACTGGACTTTTGCACCGTATATGGACGGAACCAGAAATGAATCAGGACTCAGATTTCTTCTTGTGCGCAGAGAGACAATTTGCTCACTCACAGTTAATATCTATGAGTGTGAAATAATACATTCCGCCCGGATGTTTTATCGTGCACGTGTATTATTATGAGACTATTTTGACGCCATGAATATATTTGATTTTAAAATCCAACCTCTGGCCTCCTTCTTTTTGGCTCAGGGTCTGAACACATTCAATAAATAAACCTTTGTATTCAGTTATACTTCAATGATCTTTAAAGTGAAAGTATTGTGTGTATTTGTACACACTGTACTGCAAAGTCACTTGTGTCAAACTGTTTCAGTGTGTAAATGTCGCTGCGCGATCCTGATCAACATTAAACAGAAAATCCAAAACTCTTCTAGATCATTTCAGACAAACACATGATGACTGGAGCTTGGTCACGTGTTTTTCTTCTAATGGATGGAAATCTGGAGAAAATCAAACAAATCATGATCATCATGTCAGTTTCTGCCTTTTGTCTTTGCATGAAAACTTATTTTTCACTCATGATACAAAGACAGAGAACAGGAACTAACAAATAAGGTCAAAGATCAATTTTGAGCTCAATATTTTTTACATACAAATATTTCTTCATTACAGTAACTAGTTGTCAATTATAGGAGCCCTGCCTATTCTACTCTTGTCTGGACAAAACACAAACTTTGAAGTCATTTTTCTCTGTTTCACGATCTGAAGAGTTAAACTCTTTTACCACTGTAGAGCAGATCAGTCTGTGGGAGCTGGAATCACACTGAAAACCTGTGGGTCAGTGGATCTGATCACTCAACTAATGAACCAACGTTTATGTTGAGAGCAGGTTTTGAACCGCTAACGTTTAGATCAGTGGTCAAACACACTACCAACTGAGCTTGTGTCGCCCCCTGAGCTGCGCTTATGATTTGGTCTGGTTTTACTTAGAGTGATTTGATTTGACTTTGTGCAGCTCTTTAAAAACATGCAGTGTACATATAAAGTGGATTGGAACATATACATCCAATCATCTTAGTGCATTAAGTGTACATTTAGGACTCTTTTTTCCTTT